ACCGCTTGTCTGGCCATGCTGAGGCGGTGTCCCACATACAGCAACTAGAGGGATGTGCAACTATGACATACAGCTATCTACTGGGGCTTTAGGGAGAAAAGGGGAAATAAAAAAAGGAGCAGGATTGGCAATAGATGTTAGCTCAGGGCCGGTCTTCCTCAGCAAAAAGAGGAGGATTGGTGTGGATGTTAGCCCAGGGCTGACCTTCCTCAAAAAAAAAAAAAAATGGATTAAAGTCTTGAATGTAAGACCTGAAACTGTGAAACTTCTGGAAGAAAACATAGGCAGTACGCTCTTCGACATCGGTCTTAGCAACATATTTACAATCTTAATCTAGTGATCAAAATTAACATCATCAGTAATGGGGCAAATTTAAATCATAACCCATTTAGTAGTGCAATGAGAGGAATGCAGCATCACTTCTGGAATATTCCTAGCAAAGATGTATAACTTAAATCTAATCATGAGGAAACATCAATAAACCAAAAATGAGGGACATTCTACAAAATAATGGGACTTGTTATCTTCAAAACTGTCAAGATCATGAAGTCAAGGAAAGACTGAGGAACTGCTCCTGACTGAAGGAGATTGAGAGACGTGACTGATTCTGGACTAGATCCGGTTGCTATAAAAGACTTTATTGGGACAATAAGTAACACTCAAATGGGATCTGAGAGTTAAATGGTAGTAATGCATCACTGCTAATTTCCTGGTTTTGATGGTTGTGTTTTGGCTGAAATGGAAAGAATGGATGATATCTCTGAAGTAGAACTTAAGGAATGTACAAGGAGGAAGAAGAGAGCAAACAAGGAAAGGGTCGAGAGGGACAGTAGGGCAGTAGCATGCTGTGCAAACCAAAGGAGGAGTTTCAGAGAGGGCGGCGTTCAGCCAGGTAAGGAAGCACAACGACAAAGTCTTCAGACGTGACCCTTGGGCAGTCACTGGTGAGCTCGGAGAGGGCGTCTTCCGCAGAGTCTGCACAGAAGTCAAATGATGCAAGATGTTGGGTGTCAGAGGTAAAAGCAGCAGAGAAGTTTTTCAAGGAAAAGCAGAGGTGAGATAGTTGTTTAAGATAAAAAAATCAAAGATTTTAGGGATTTGAGGGATATGGGAAACCCCCACCATGTTTGGTGGGCTTACAGAAAAACTATGAACTAGAAATAAAAATATGTGAAGGAGTGGCTGCGGGACTCGGTCATGGGATAGAATCACAAAGACAGGGAAAAGATTTGACTGGGAGAGCAGAGACTGTCTGGGACCCAAAAGGGGAGGGAGGCGAAAACAATAGTGAAGATAGCGATTTGGAGGCAGAGAGGTGTGGTGAGTGGTAGAGAGAATGGAGGACTGGGCGCTGCAGGCAAGCTGACCTCCAAGCGTCCAGCGTCTGCGTTTCCGGTGGGTCACCACCGCGAATGCTGAGATCAGTCATTCCACTACACTGCAGTGGGCCAAGGAAAGGCACTGTGGCTTGTTTCCATTTATACCACCAGTGCGTGCAGCAGAGTCTCTGAGGACAATAGCCGGAAATGAGGTCACTGAAGGAGAGAATCCTGGCAGAGAAGATGAGAACAAAGAGAAAGTGGTAAAATGAAATACTGTGACCCAGGAGAAAATCTCGCCCATGTGCCCAGGCAATGTGCCCAAGAATATTTATAGCAGCATTACTTTCACTAGCATAATGGAAAACAGCCAAATGCACACAGGTGGGGCATGGTAAAAAAAAAAGCATGGCATAGTCATATAACGGAATACTATTCAGCAGCAAAAATGAATTAACTATGGCTAAATGCATCAATTCAGATGAATCTGAAAAATATAAGGCACGAGAAATTACCCTGTGTGATACTATTCACATAAAGTTCAAATGCGCACAAAATTATCAAATATGTTCATTTTACTAAACATGCTTTCAAACTGTAACGACAAGCAAGAGAACAATAGACATAAAGATCCCTCTAGGGGTGGAGATAACCAGCAGGGAGCGCCCGGGGCTGCTTCATCATTTTGGCAACATTCTATTTCTCAAGTTGGGCGATGGGGTCCAGGAGTATTTATTTTATCTCTTTTATCTTACATACATTGTATTTTATTTTTGTATGTGTCAAATATTCTATTTAAAAATGAACACACGCATTTAAAAAGGGGGAAAGTCCCCAATGACTGTCATACGGGTCTCTCTCAGAGATCTTGTGAGAGCTCTGAAGACCAGGTTACTTACTGCCCATGCCTCTTGGTTAGCCAGGGATCTAAAAATTCTGGCATCCAATTTTCCCAACACTTCGAGCAACCCTGCAAAATTTCAGGAAGATTGGAAAACGATCTTTCTAATTGGCAGAATTTCAATCAGAATTCAGAGTTCTCCTTGTAGCAAACAGAAAGACAAAGAAAAAATGAACATTGTGAACTTTAAAAGAAAACACTCTCTTGAGAAAAGACTCAGTTCCTCTGAGCAGTAATCTCCGAGTGACGCCAAGAGGGAAGGAACCAGGCAGCCCCACCTCTCTGAATGGGAGGTTTGGGAGAGACTGCAAAAGAAATCCTTCATCAGGACTACCCAGGTTTCAGTTGAGATGAGGAAGGAGAAAAGGTTTCTGGACAAATCTGGGAACACAGCTTTGCTCACTCTAGAATCACGGAATGTTTGACCTTGAAGAGATAGGGCATCAGCTGATGCTGGTTGGGTTTTATAAAAAAAAAAAACCTAAAACCATTCCGGGGTAATATGAGATTTGCTTAAATCCTGTATGCTTATTTTCCAACTGAATTCATACAGCACTGAAACTTCTCTCCTCCCCATCCCCTCCCATCTCCAGTGCTGAACTCAATGCAAAAGATGAGTCAGCCAGATGCAAAGGAAGGTAGGGCTAGGGCTCTAGAAGGCAGGAAGAAACTGACCACAGAGAACCAGAATCTAATCAAGACACGGGGTGGAGGGGCAGTTAACGAGTTCCTGAGAAGTCACTCCCTCCAGGGGTGACTGCCAGAAGCATCAGGGCCCCATACTTCACCTTTGCCCCCCACCTCTTCTTTTCATTGCCAAGAACATCCACTCCAGCAGCAAGGGGCCATCTGCTAGGATCACACAACGGGAGGCCGCAGGATGGGGCTGAAGTTCACTGAAGGCACTAGACTATAAATAAATGATAAAACATGAGAGAAAGGTCAGGCTCCAGGAAAACACTCCTCATAAATCCTCTTGATCCTGATTGCTCCATCTAGAAGCAGATTAAGTGTAAAATACTGATCTTGAATGGGGTCCAGCCAAAATTTATACAGCTTTAGGGCTTTCTGGAAGGGCTGTGTTCTTTGAAAGGAAGGCGGTGGGTTAGGAAATGCAGTGCTGGTGGAGGAGCCCAGAAGGAGGGGGGATGGGTCAATTTCCTCACCAAGTGGGATATTTCAAAACTACCTGTGAAAGGATGTTCCGCCTGTTACAGGGTGGTGCTAATTCTTAGGGTGCAGAAGGGATAGCTGTTGTAGCGTATTGTGATAAAATCAGTCTGTTGTAACGAATGGAGTTTTTATGAGAGGGAGAGAAATTTAAGGCTATGAAAAGACTTGCTCATTTGATGGAACTCAATAAGTTAACTGAGAGCTAATAGGGTTCGAAACTAATATTAAGAAGGAGAGCTCTGGGGTCTGAATAATGAGTTACAAATGAAAGCTGACCTCTGTCCTTGGATAGCAGGACAAGATGGACTGACAGAGCAGCCCTTGAGTGCTGGGGAAGACGTGATGTCACTAAGAGACCAGTCACTCTCTCTTCTGTTCAGTAAATAGTTATGAGCACCTGCTTCATGTCACACTCTGTTCTTGGCAATAGAGGAATGGCACTGACCAAGCAAATGGAGCCCCTGCCCCGGGAGCTTACTGAGAAGGAGGCAGGAGCTAAGAGAGACAGGCAAAGGCCTAAAACTGTGCCTGCAACCAGGGTAGAGTGTGTTTACCGTGGGACCTGTGGGCATCTGTTAAAGCTCTCGGCTGCTTCTATGAACGGCCTTTGGATGGGAAATCTAGGAGCAGTAGAGGGAAAAGGAAATAAAGACTTTGAGCCAGTCAGTAGGGTTTGAGTCTTGGTTTAGCCTCACTGTGTGTCTAAGATCTCTGAGCAGCAGTTCCCTTGATTTTAAAAAAGTACAGTATGGGCCGGCCCCGTGGCTTAGTGGTTAAGTGCGTGCGCTCCGCTGCTGGAGGCCCGGGTTCGGATCCCGGGCGCGCACCGACGCACCGCTTGTCAGGCCATGCTGAGGCCGCGTCCCACATACAGCAACTAGAAGGATGTGCAACTACGACGTACAACTATCCACTGGGGCTTTGGGGGAAAAAATAAATAAATAAAATTAAAAAAAAAAAAAAAAGCACAGTAATAATTTCCTTCCCAAGTATTGTAAGGATTAAAAATGCCACCTGTCAAGCACTTAGTCTGATGACTGAAATATAATATGTGTTCAATAAAGTAAAGCTACTTTTCTACCTATGTAGTTTGTATTTTTGGTCATTATTTCCTCATTTATTTCTGTTAGTTTTTAGTAATGTTCCTTTGAAAGTATCAGAAGGTCTCAAGTGAGGAACAGGAAGGCACAGACATTTGCCCAAGCTTTGGGGGTGCAGGGAGCCATGCGCAATGAGCATCTGAGAGTTACCACGTGCTGATGAGGTCCTAGGCAGAACCCCAGGAGGCAAATTTCAACCTTGGAGGAGGTTGTGTTTTGGTGAGAAAATGCCTCCCCTTAGGTCCCAGGGACAATGCTGGGTGAGACAGGCAGTCAGAGGCCCAGATGGGATGGGACCGTCGTAATTAAAGTGGACAGTGGTATGGCCTTCACAGAGGGTATGCACACACCATGTCCCACTGGATCCTCCTTCTCAGCCTGAGAGGGAGGCAGCAGTTTTATTGCCTATTATACTGCTTGCACTTAAGAACTGGGGGCCAATTATTGCCTTTGTTGTTGGTGTTGTTTAGTACTTTGCCGTCCATGTTGTCAGCTTGTTTTTTTTTTAATTCTGGTAAAATATACATAATATAAAATTTACCACCTTAACCATTTTTAAGTGTACGGTTGGGTGGTATTAAGCACATTCCCATTGCTGTTCAGTTATTGCCTCTTTTGAGCCTGAAGGTCCCACGACTGGTGGGAGCCGGACCCCAGTGTCAGCACTGTGCTGCCCCGCCACGTCCTAACTTCCAGCCACGGGGACTGCTCTGCGTCCTGCTCCACAGGTTGGTGGCGTGTGTCTCTCTGCATAACAGAAAGCGGGTTTGGGCACGAAGTAAAACTCAGGATGCTGTGCTCCTCACCTTTCATCTGGTGTACAGTTTGTATAAAATTTAACATCTTTCACCTGCTTCTGACACACATTTACCAGGATGTGACTCAAATGGAGCTCACTTGGCTGACATCTGCCATTCCAACCCTGCCTGACTCGGCAGGGAAGCTGGTGTCTGGCGGAGGGAGCATCGTCGAGTTGCTGTTCCTGGCGCAGGAAAGTAGGCTTTGCTGCCTAACATAGCAAGGCTCCGAGCTCTTTGCCCAAGGCCTTTGCTAGCACTCTGTGGGGTTTTTCAGGAAGTCATTTTGTGCTTAGCTATCTGTCAGGAATAAGAATAACAAAATCAGTTTCTGTACAGTTCCTCGGTGGTGATTCATGCAACCCGAATACTTTCAGGTCCTCCAGATGCAAAATGTTTGAGAATAGTTAACCCTATTTTAGGAAACTGATCTGATTTTTAATTATGACAATAATTCATGTGGATTTAGTGCCTAATAGGTGCCAGCCACTGTGCTAGGAATGCAGGTCCTTAGGTCACCCAAAAGATGGTTCTAGGGCCACGCTTTATCAACAAAGAGGAGAGATGGTAAGATCTCTGAGACTCTTTCCAGGCACCATCCCTGCTAAGTTCCTAAAGGGCCAGTTAGACAGGAATGCTCTCAGGACAAATGGATCCCTTACTATTGCCTAAGACTTCACACTAGTGGGCTGGGCTAGCCCACATGCCAAGCTTGGGAAGTCCTTTCCTCACTCCCACTTTAAGGTGGAGGTCTGGAGAAAACGCTGGGCAGCCTCTTCTGTGCCCTCTTCCCCTGTGTTAAGCCTGGTGTGAGCCCTCCAACCTGTCCACTCCAACAGCAAGAGGGGCAATGAGGAGACCATAAAGAGGCAAGGGGTGGGGAGGGAGCCACTGAGAGGAGAAGACATCACCCCTTCTCTCCTCTCCCAGCCTTTTCCCCCTGACCACAGCGGCCTAATCGGGTGGCCGTGCAGGCTCTATTCTACCCTCACTTGTGTCAGAGAGCCTCCTCCTCTGGGATTAGGAGGTGGCTCCCATCCCTGTTTTGAGTTTGTAACCAACTGGTCTCCTAAATCACTGACCATGGGATGCCTAGAGGATTATGGGAAGAAATCAAGATCTCCCCACCTTTGAGGAAACTTCAGGAAGGCGACCTTAGGAACACATCCTTGTGGTTCTTTTCCCTATAGTTTCTCAGTAGTGAGCTGTGTTGTCAGCTAAGAATACTTAACACATTTCTTCTGCCTGCAAAGCAAATGCCTTCAGTTCAGGGATGAGAATTTATCAAAGTCTATAAATTGTACACTAAATGCTCACGGGTTATACAACATAAGCTCAGAGAGGAGACATGTCCAACTTTCTTCCCCTCACATTAACAAACAGAAATGCACCACGGGATTCCACTCACACCTGATTGTGGACATTCTTTCTCTGGCTTCTTTGACAAATTCTATCCTGATTTTCATACCCACTTCATGTACCAAGGTCCCATCCTGCTAAATATCTAATGAAGCAGTAGCCTTTTTTCTGTTACTCCAGTCACTATGCCTTGGTCAAGGGTCCACATAGGTCCCATCACCAAGTAATTAAGTCAACCTCATGACAGCACAGAGCTGGAAGCCTTCACACACTTAACCAGTCATCTGCACAGAGGGCACAGGTGGTCACAACTCAGAGAACGTCGCTCTCTACCAAAGAGGGCACTCTGCTTGGTCCACTGACTCTCTTATTGTCAGATCACAGACGAAATATGTCTGAATAGCAGGAATAGTAAGAAAAACTTAAGGATTTAATTTCCCAAAAGTTTAACATAGAGGTGAAGCCACCAAACAAAAAGCTAACATATTCTTAGAATATGGAACGCAGAACACAGAAGCCAGATCCTCTGTGCTTCTGTCTCCTCCTTAGTGTTGTTGGACCACACCTGAAATACAGCTTGATTCACTTCCAGACATCACCCTTCAAGAGAGTTGTTGACAATACATAGGAATCGTTGAAAAAACAAGACATGTAGCCTCAGTAAAGAAGGTGGATAAATGCCTTAGGGTGGCTAATGGGGCAAAAGCCATGAAAGAGATCTTAGAGACTTGTCACATTAATAAAACCAGAAATGGGACTAATGGATAGATATTACATTTCTGCACTATAACAACAAAGCTTTTAATAGAATTGTCTGAAAGTTGAACTAGTTGTTCCATGTCACCGGGGTGTTAAAACAGTCACTAGGTGACCACTTGTCATAAACACTGTAAAGACAATCCTTATGTTGGGAGATAGTCTAACTAAATGAGATCTTGAAATCTAAGGTCTACACTAATTCATAGATATTTTCCTCCATCTTATGGATAAATGGAGAGGTGTCCTGTCTTACCCATAAAGCAGTTCCTAGAGTAGGAAGAAACATTTTCAAAATGGCAGCTCTAGGAAAACACAGCTTCTTGGGATCACTAGTTGGGATGGAGTGGATGGAGAGGGGGAAAGATTGGAATGGAGCTACTAAAAGGAGAGAGAAGAAGATACATTAGCAGGGAGGAAATCCCAGAGCATGCAACAGGAACGTAGCTCCCAAGAGTTTGAGGGAGTTTTGATGGTCTGGAGAGGATCTTTATGAGGAAATTTGCTCCAATAAAATGAAAAGACAAACCTCATAGAGGAATTTATTGCTCATAAACCAAAGCCTTGGAACCTAACCATGGAGAGCTGGGATCAACCCGAACTTCCCTCAGGCCTGCTATCACATGTCGTGGGCACTTCTTGGCTATTTTTGCCTCTGAAGCACAGAAAGAGTGAAACACCCTTCAGCTCCACCTCTAAAAAGACTCCCTTATTCCCTTACTTCTCTGTTTATTTTCTCTATGCCCAGCAACCAAATGAGGACAGAGGAACAGACCACCATAGAAAACTAAGACTCTGAAGACTGCCACTGCACCTTGTCATCAACTAGGAAAGATATAGAGGATGGGGTCTAGGTCCTGTGCCTGGGCTTTTCACGACCCATCCCAATGGCTGGGCCAACACTAACTAATCCATCTTACTCAATAAAAGGAATCCTTTTGCAAAACCATGATATACTTTAAGAATTGGTCCTTCCTCCATTGACGATAAGTCATTAACCCTACTCTTAGCCTACATCTTACTCTATAGTTTTGGGAGGGATGCTCACAATATGCACAATTCATGATTTCACATCTTAGACTCATAAAACAAGTAGCAGTGTTGTATAGTAGTTAAAAGAGTCCTGGGCCCGGAGCTACACTGCCTGGGTTTGAAATCTATCTCTGTTATTTGCTAACTGTTGACCTTGAGCAAGATACTTAACTTTTCTGTGCCTCAGTTTCTTCATCTGTAACAGGAAAAGAATAATCATACCTACTCATAAGACTGTTGTGAAAATTAAATGATATAATACCAGTACACTATTTAGCATAATGCCTGACATATAGGAAGTACTAAAAATACGTTAGCTACTAACACATTATTTTAGAACTTGAGAGATGAAGGGCACATAGACCAACCCTGCACACAATGCTTGATTGCAGAGGGGGCTGGCTCATCTGTTCCTCTGGTTAAGTTAACAGCTTTTCTTGGGTCCTACTGTTTTGGCTCCATGCCTGCCTTAGTTTACAGCAGAGTAAAATGTATTATTATTATTGCCTCCTAATTTTATAAAAGAGCTTCATCTTCATTTCACGTTGATTTTACTTGGTAATAATTACAAAAAGGCTTTAGCTTTTATGTTCCTTGCCCCTCATCGCCTCTGCCAAGGAGGAAGAAAAAGGCAGACTCAAGAGCTAGAAATGAACCTTTGAACTTCTGCAGATGAGGACGTGGGAGCCAGCGAGGTAAGGCCACATGTCCAAAGGCTCACACACGGTGACAGAGCAGGATGAAACATTGGTCCAGTCCTTCTTACAATATTCCAATAAATTTGCTTATTAAAGACATTCTTAAAGGTATGTAAGGAATTATTTGTTAAATGAATATATGCTTCTCTCATTCACATAAATGTGTGTTTTGTACATTTTATACTTTAATAACACACATGTACAAAGTCATACATATGTGTGTATTGTTGAATGAGTACAATCCTTAACTAACTATAAACATTCCCATAAAACCCCTCATAGGAATCCCTGGCCGACGCTATCAACTGCACAGCTTAGAAACAGGGCCTCCTGAACTCATGGGCCGTCCCCACCATTAAGTCAGAACAAGACCACCGATAACTGCAGAATCTGCGGTTCCGGGAATATCGCTTCCCTCCTGTGGCCTGGCTTAGCTCCAGGCCACACTGTAGGAGAACGAGGAAAGGGCGATTCCTAGCCTTGTGCAGAGCTGTGCAGAGGGCTGACTGGCTAGGGTAGCTTTTCTGTCCAATAGGAGGATCCTGTTTCAAAAGGTAAATCTGGCTGTCTCACCTAGGATCTGCAACGTTTCTCAAGCCCCATCTCCCCCTAAAATTACCAAGGAGTCTCAGACAAGTTCCTGAAGTTTTAATCATTCATTTATTAAATAAGTCTTCATTGAGAACCTACTAGGTACCAGGTGCTAGGGATCCACTGGGGAGCAAAACCAAACCGGGTCGGAGAAGGGGGACAATAGGAGCAGGTAGAGCCAAGGTGAAATTGCGGAAGCGGAAGGGTCTTAGTCAGTGTTCCCCAGACCAACCATTCCCTCCCCATCCATTGTATTGTAACGCGCTCCCTCCAGCTCCTGTTTGCCTTTTGTCCCTTCTCTCAGGAAAACCTGATTCCTGGGGAAATAACTTGATTACTCATTCATTTATTCGACAAATGTATGTCAAGAACTTACTAGAAGCACCTACCATGTACCAGGTATTGCAGTAGGTAAAATATTAGTCATTTACAGCTTCTCTCAGGAGTGGTTGCGTGTCAAATCTTTTTTTTCTCCTACTTTTTAATTGACATAATTCACATACCATAAATTTCATCCTTTTAAAGTATATAATTCAGTGGTTGTTTGTATATTCAAAAATTGTACAACCATCACCACTAATTCCAAAATATTTTTATCATCCCAGAAAGAAACCGTACACCCATCAGCAGTCATTCCCCTATCTCTCCTTCCCCTAACCCCTGACAACCACTAACTAATTTTCTGTCTCTATGAATTTGCCTATTCTAGACATTTCATGTAAATGGAATCATATAATATGTGATCTTTTGTGTCTGGCTTCTTTCACTTAGCATTATGTTTTCAAAGTTACCCATGTTGTAGCAGGTATCAGTAGTTCATTCCTTTTTATGGCTGATTAATAAGTCATTATATGGATATACCACATTTTGTTTATCCATTCATCAAATTTTGAACATTTGGGTTGTTCCTCTTTTTAGCTATCATGAACACTGCTGGTATGAAAATTTGTGGACACATTTTTGCGTGCACACGTTTTCAATTCTCTTGGCTATCTACCTAGGAGTGGAATTGCTAGATTATATGGTAACTCTATGTTTAGTTTTTTGAGGAGCTGACAAACTGTTTTCCAAAGTGGCTGCACCAGTTTACATTCCCAGCAGAAAAGTATAAGGGTTCCAATTTCTCCACATCCATTGTGATTGTCCATTATTTTTATTATAGCTTTCTTGGTGGGTGTGAAGGATATCTCATTGTGATTTGGATATCCATTTCCTTAAAAACTAATGATGTTGAGCATCTTTTCTTGTGCTTGTTGGCCATTTGTATATCTTCTTTAGAGAAATATCTATTCAAATCCTTTGCTCATTTCCTTTTTTTTT